TCAGGGCCCCCTCGAGGGTTTCTTTCTCATAGGTAAGGACCATATTCTTGGCGGCCGATTCCTTCAGCTTCTGTTGGAGCGCGTTGCTCTTGAAGACAAGCTCATCCAACCGATCACCAAGCGGAAGAGAGCCTCGTTCGATCGCCGGGATGGAACGGCTCGAACTGGCTAAATTTTGCTCGATCAGTGGCGCGAGCTCGACCATTCCCTATAAGAGCACATGAAAGAAAGTGTTAGGGCACTCACGACGACAGGAAGTGGAGTAAAATAGATAAACATCAAGCTATAGTAGGTTACCTGAGCCAGCCATCGGGCAATCCGATTGCCCCGGTCTCGAAGACTATGACCGTCATTATAACGGTCAGTAGGACGGTCGACGGGAGGAAGGACATCACTGAGGAAATGCGAGAACCCCGTGACGTCAAGTGTAGTGATTAAGAGTGCGGTCTCCTCGAGACGACGGCGCTTGCTAGCATTTTCATCCCCCTCAACAGGGGGACGCTTAAGTCGATTCTCCTCGAGCAGAGTCTTCTCGGGAGAAGCAGGAATGTGAATGACCGGAGTGGTCTGGTCGTGGGGAGGAGAGTGCAGTCGAGGAGATGCCGGTTGCTCGAGCTGTTCAAGTTGCTCGGGTTGCTAGTCGGCTTAAAGGTTGATCGAGGATGGTTGCTCGACAGTCAATTCTGGAGGCGGTGAAGTCGAACGGGCGGATTGGAAGGTGGTCGAGTCAGAGGGCTTCGAGCTCGACCCCTCGACGGCCTGCTTCTTTTTCAATGGAACTTTCTTCCTGGGCACAGAGATTGTGGACATCTCTACAAGAAATTACGAACAAGTTAAAGCCACGACAGATAAACAACATGTGAAACAAACATGATGATGCTCGAGCCCATTCCGTAACAATACATACCTGGGTCGCCTTCGATCCGGATGAGATCGAAAGTTTTCTGGCTTGGGAGATAACAAGATTTGTGGGTAAGAAGTCCACAGAAATGCAGGAGGTCCTCATCCTCAAGCAAGGTCTTCGACGCAACGATGCTATTCCATACTGCAATCCGTTGGTCGAAGAGCGCGTTTGTTGAAGGTGTTGAATACTCACGTTGGAGTTCCTTAAGCCACGGCGATGGCGCCCAAGGGAAAGCGGGTTTGGGCTCGACAAAAAGCGAATTTGTCTTTCCACTTGGGGACGTTTGACGGAGTGTCTGAAATAAAATGGACGTCGTTGCGGCTCTTGAGGTAGAGCCCCTGAGTATGTTTCTAGGGTGTATAGCAATAATGGAAGAAATCTAAGTCGAGCCGACCTAGACGAATGTGGCAGAGAATGATGAAGACGGTGATAAAACGGATGGCATTAGGGGGGAGTTGGTTCAAGGGAAGGTCAAACCATTCACAAAGATCGAGCAAGTTCTAGCTTAAGGGAAAACGGACGCCGAGTTTAAATTGAATTTCAAAGAAAGTGTAGCAGTTCTGGGGAGGGTTATCATAGGTATCCCGAGGGCCTGGAGATACGAAAGACCAGGGGGCTGGATAGCCCACTTCATCGGCATCCAGCCAACCAGCTATAAGAGAGCGAGAGGAAGAGGAAGTCTTCTTAGAAGAAGAAGAAGAAGAAGAAGAAGAAGAAGAAGCTTTGATCGACTTACCTTTCTTTGGGGCATCCTTAGCAGAGGTAGCGACAGGGACAGTTGAGATGCAAGGGGTGTAGCGGCAGTCAAGAATTTTTTAGCACCCTTCTTGGGATTATTGGAAGAAGTGACTCTAGAAAAAACAGAATGGTGAGAAAAGGGAGCATCATCTTCATCCTTCTCAGCAGCGGCCTCAGCAGCGTCGAGAGCCTCTTCAGCAGCGTCAGAAGCCCCAAACTCCGGTCGACGGCAATTGAGGGGGATGTGGTCGAGGGCATCCTCGTCTGATTCATCAATCAGACGATTAGGTTGGCGAGGAGAAGAGGGTGTTGAGTAATCAGAGGGGCGTAAAAAGTTGAGAGGAACGGGATCGTAAATCTCCTCCACTGAGCGAGAAGGAGAGTGAGGAATAGGTCGGCGAGTAGGGAATGGCGACGTGGCGGTCGCATCATCACCGGAGTGATGGCTTTGAGCGTTAGAATCGACGGAATCTGAAAAGTAAAAGAAAGGAGAATCGAGAGGAAAAGAGTAGAAGTTAGGGTTTTGGAAGGTGAAAAAGGGTTTTTCTTCACAGGCGAATTGAGGAGGTTTTGGAAAAAAAAAACCAATAGAAAAAACCAAAAATTGACAAAATAAAGGTGAGCAAATGCAAAACTAAAGCACAGAAAACTTACTCATGGTCGCAGTAGAAAGCGGTGGCCAGAGAATGTTTGATGAAGGCGCCGAGAACGAGAAAGCACGATTTGCAGATGGAGAAGTTAGGGCACAAGGGAGTTCGAGATTTGCAAAAGTGAGAAAAGTCGGAAAATTTGCTAAGTACGGTATTTATACAGAGGCATAAGGTGAAAGGTTGGTGGAAATAGCCGTTAGATGAGAGCGAGATCCAACGGCTGGGGGAATTAAAGAAGGACACAGATAACGAAGCGGCGCAGATCGCGAGGAGACGTGATGATTAAAAGTACTGCATGGAAAGGACGCGTAGCAGATGGAAATCATGTTAACAATAAAAGGAAATAAAGGATGGATAAAATAAATCATAAAATCAGTCAAATGGTAGAGGAGTAAGAGCAACATTGGTTAGATGATCGAACAATCAACAGATCGAAAGGACAGGCACAAGCTCACTCTTAGATCGAGTCATTCAGACTCGACCAGATTGGGGGGGACTAGATGATATGAGATATTATATGCCTAAAGAATAGACCGGTTTTACCACATTGGTCGGGCGAGCTCGAGGTCGGAAAAACTGTATGGGTCGAGCGATAATCGACCAAAAGGGAAAAGATCGAGCAGAATAGCAGAACTGGTTGAGGATCGACCTAGCGACGGGGGATTCGGTCAGATCGAACACTTAACAGGTGAAGAGCAGGTGAGAGCGTGGTTTGAACGCGAGAAAGCGCGTGGGCTGCGATTAGAAGATCCTAACGGAATGTGCAGAGAATAATATCCCTCTGCCCAGAGGGACACGTGGCGAGAGTACATTGGTGCAGAGCGATAGTGGTAATAACCACCTCTGATACCTCTGACACACGCACACTGTGTGGTACGGACGGGCAGTGCGGGCGGGACAGCTCACAAGATCGGGACAGCTCCTAGGGCATGTATCTCACTCCTATATATATGAGTGAGTCTTTTCTTATGACTCATGATTTATCCATTACATACTTTGGAGAATTGAGTAAACTATACACTGACTTAAGCATCGGAGGCTCTTCACCGGAAAATCCCTCCGGTGTGAGAGTTATGTGCATGTGCGCGGCGTTCTACCGGCGAGGAGGAGAAAGACGAGCCTTCAAGCCGGTCGGAGTGTTTTGCATTACCACATTATTTTTTAACTTTTTGGTAATATATTTACACTTGAGTTGTAACATAAATTGTCATCCAAGTAGGTTAAATAGCATTACTCTATAATTATACACCATCAGAAAATAACTTTCTTTTTCCCAATCGTACCGCAAATTCAGCGGCGCCTTTCTTGCTTATAATCCTCACTTCTTTCTTTTTTTTTTTTTTTGGGTACAATAAAGGAGGCCAACGGCCTAGACTTGGACTTGACGGGGATAAGACACCCCAATGATCTCATCCTCACTTCATTCTTCCAAGAAACAAACGTATTTTGTACAAAATCGCAGGAAATTCCCACAAATAAAGCATTTTTAACCTCTTATTTAGTTATTATCTAAAATGAATACTGTTTTCTACTTTTCTTCAGTTGTTTGCAACTTTTCTTCAACGTTCTATTGGGAAAACGTTCTAGAAATTAATATCATAACCATCCACCCTCCCCGTGAGTTGTTTTATTCTCTTTTTTTCAGATTTCATTTGCTTCAGCTGCATTTCTGTGAGCATTTGGAAGGTTGAAGAAGAAGCATTTTCACACAGGTAATAATAATTTGAAAAATATCTCATTAATGTATTTTTTAAAGTTTGATTTTACATAAAAATAATGGGTTTTTTCACCTGGATTTGTGAATTAAACATTTTCCATTGATGTTTGCATTCTTATTCGATTTTATTTTGTCGTAATTTTGTGAATGTCTTTTTTTTTTCTTTTTCTATTTGTATCTCATTTTTTGCTGACCAATTATTGTTTTTCCACAGCTATTTTTTCTCAAAGAAAAAAAAAATTGTATAAATTTTTCGATCTGTTACAGATAATTTTTTGAAAAATGTTGTGATAACAAATGGATCAGGTTTTGGTACATAAAATTAAGCTGCTGGTTTGCATTTTTAAAGTTTAAATTTGTGGTGGTGTGCCCATTTGTGTTTGTGAAATGAGGTGGTCCAACGATCCGGCGCCGTTTCTGACGAAAACGTATGAAATTGTGGAGGATCCGAGATGTGACGATTTGATATCGTGGAATAGAGACAAGACTTCCTTCATTGTATAGCATCCATTTGACTTTGCCCGTGATTTGCTGCCTAAATACTTCAAGCACAACTAATTTTTCAGTTTTGTCCGTCAGCTCAATACCTATGTAAGCACGCAGTTCCATAGAAAGTTATTTTTGGTTTTTAAAAAATGTTGAAATAGAAATTAAAATGCAAGGAACAATAATGTTGGTTTTGAGAAAATGTTGAAATGGAAATGAGATGGGAGAGAATAATATTAATTGAAAGTAATGGAAGCAACTATTTGGTAAATAAATGAATTGAATACTTGGTTGTATTTCATACAAAACATCAACAGGTATATATAGATGATGAGAGGCGGTGTTACTAACTTCTAGAAGACTCATTTTAATTCACCCCATTTGACTAAATCTTATTTCAAGTTTATTATTTGATCATTTTAGATGTTTTAAAATACTCTTGTAAAGATAAAATATCTTGATTTTTTCTGAATAAAGGAGGCAATTTCAACAGTTTTCATTATTCTTAAAATGTTAGGCATTTAAAGCCGATTGATTGAATTGTGCCGGGATTTCGGATAATTGATCCGGATCGGCATGAGTTCGCACACGATTGTTTCTGACGTGGCAAGAAAGCGATGCTCGGAGACATCAAGCGCCGGCAAAGCTCGACTAGAGCTTCCACTGGCCCGGTGGCGCCTTTCAGCCCCTTACTAAACGTGCAGCCGTTGCGGGCGGTCGCCCCGGTAGCGGTTGTCCAAAACTCTCCCACAGACTCCGACAATGAACAGTTTCTCTCTTCCAATTTGTCCCCGAAGGCTGCCACTGCGCCTCCGGCGATGTGGGACTTTGAGGAGATCAATAGGCTAAGGAGGGAGAATTCGAAGCTGAGAGGGGAATTAAACATGCGGGACTATGAGGAGGAGAGGCTGAAAAGAGAAAATTCGAAGCTGAGACAGGAATTATACCAGCTGAAGGACAATCTATACAGCCTGTCAGGCTACGCGGCGAATCCAGGCGAGGCCCCAGAAGACGGCGTGCATAAGTGAATTTGAGTGGTATCGGGTTCTTATCTAGAGTAAATCTATATTATAAAATTTATTTTATGTAATTCAACAATTTATTATAACAATTTATATGTATGATGTTTAAAGTACTCTTGATTAAATGCTAAACTGAGAATTAAGATTTAACACATTGGCTCTGCTTTCAATTTCCTCGTAAACAAAACCAGAGAGCGTGAGAATATGTTCGAGGTAAAAATAATAAGAATGAATATGAGAGTGATTTAGACTTATGTTGATGTCTTTGTTTTTTAATTATTGAAAACTTTGTGACAAGTTTCAAAGGACAATTCAAATGTGAATAATAAATATGAGAATTATAATTTTGTGAATTCTTGATAAAGATGCCTTTCTTATTTTTTCTTTTTCCACCTTTTATTATTACCCCCAAAACTTATATGTTCAACTCTCTTATACACATTACCAAATTGACTCCACCACACCCCATCCTATGAAGCATCCCATAATAAAACTATAGCAAAATTAACATCACCATTACAGCTAAATACAACACAGAGACTATAGAAAAAACTAAATAAAAAAAAAATGCACGAATTCATCGTTTCCTAGCGACCTTAGCCGAATTCGAGCAAGAAGAAGGCATCGATAGACCCGTCCACTTCTTCTCGGCTATATCTTTATTGAACGCCTTCTTCACGACTTGTTTGAGTTCCATGTTAGATCATCCTTTTGCCCCGTTGTTCTTCTGGACTGCCTTTCTCCAATAGCAGTGGGCCCAACGTGTCGTCCTCTAACAGCTGGTCCAAAACTTCCGAGCAGTTAGGGAAGAATCGACGGCCCGTATCGACTGCAGCCCAGTTCATACCAAGAAATATTGCATTTAGAGGAAGAATAATGAGATATTATTACTTTGATTTGCATTAAGTTTGTAAATTTTTGGGCTTAACCGGCTTTTTGCAGGGCTTGTAACCGAACGTGAAGCCTTTTTACTTGCTCTGACGGTATCTCGTTAAGATCAACCTCTTTAAAGTTCCCATATGAACCCTTAGCGGCCGAAAGTCCGACGAACTCCAAAGTCGAGTCCGCGTGTGCGATGCACATCGCCACTTTGGCTTCCAATGGAAATAATGAACGAGCCATTACCACTGCCATGACCAGACACAAATATAAAGTGGTATTTTTCTTTAGTTCACAAGAAGAGCTACCTAATATTAATACTCCATCCTGTTTTATATAAATATATAAATGTCGTTCTGTGTAAAAGCACAAGAATTAAGGATTCTTTTTTTGCCAGTTTTAGCCTTATTTAATGAGAATTAACATTAATTAATTATTTTCTTGAGCTTTATTATGTCATTTTAATGAAGAAAGACTCTTCATCTTCTTCATATGGAGAGATGGATGGGGACAAAAATGGAAAAATGTGAATAAAAAAGCTAAAACGTCATTTATTAAACTGATTGTCAATAAAGTCAAAACGACATTTATAAAAAACAGGAGGGAGTATAACTTATGCAGCAAAAAGATTAAGGGTTATTCACAAAAAACACCCCCAAGATGTATCTAATTGTTTATTTATTTTGTTCGTCATTGTTGAAGAATCAAGAAGAGTTATTTATCTTGAATTTTCAAAATATTATGTATGATGCAAAAAAATTGGACAATAAAAGTATTAAAGAAGTTAGACACATAAGTTTGCGAATCCAAATGAATGTAAAAAACATTATGATAAACAACTCTAAAATCATTGCAACAACCAAGATGATCAATGATTTGCAAACAATAGATTATATAGTTCGTCAGTCTTCACATTGTAAAGAAAATGTCAGAGCCTGATCAAAACATTCTTGAATGTTTGAATTAAATTGTCACTTTTTTATAGGAATATTGCAATCTCATTGTATATAGTGCATTACATATGTGCAATTCCTTTAGAGTACGTACTTTCATGTAATGTTATGATTTCATAAAGTAATTTAACACCTCGGAAGAAGTACATGTAACCATGATTTTGGTAAGTCAACTTTTATATGGAGATGAAATTTTTTCCGACCCCGTGGGGCGATGCCTTCATGGGGTGGGTATCAATTTGTCTATATAGAGAGTGATATAGCCATAGAAGGGTAACCCGGTTTGAGAGGCTTCCTACTCGACCGGTGAGCCATTTGCACGACTCACACATCAAGGTGACTCGTCGACATGTTCAAGTCGACTTCCTCGAGGTCGACTCTACCGGAAACAAGCAAGAAGAGGCAGAAATCAGTCTAGTCGACTTCCTTAAGTCGACCTCCAAACTATCGACTTTTGCTAGTCGATCTCATACTAGAAGGACATCAAGAATGCAACTCCCAACCATCTCGATGCTCTAAGTCGACTTCCACTAGTCGACTTCCTCATGACGACTCTGAGAGATGATCACCGCAGGGAGCTAAACCAGGTGTAGTCTCCGAAACCGCATATATTCTCAAGTCAACCTCCTCGTTCTCGAGGTCGACTCTGTGCATCTCGAGGATTAAATGGTAAAGACGATTCACCACACTTAACATATTCAAAGCTCCACACACTATCAAAGATAAGAAGGAATCTTATGATGACTCAGCAACAAAGGGGAGACGGATCGACAGGGGTATTTTGGACCTCCTAGGTCCACCGACTTGGGCATTTTGGGCACTTCACGTAAGTATTCACTCCTATATAAAGGAGATGAGGTAACCCTAAACCTGAACTCTCATTCACTCCCACTCTCCCCATAGCTGCTGCGCAGCCCTTCTTCATCACTCTCATACTGACTTGAGCGTCGGAGGCTCTACGCCGGGAACACCTCCGGCGTTGAGTTTTTGCAGGTATTCTTGTGATCTAGCAACGGTTTAAAGACGGTTCAAGCAGATCTTAGCTCACAACCACCGGTTTACTCCAGATCCAGAAGTAGACTCATCATTTGGCGCCGTCTGTGGGGAGTTCTTAAGGGAAGAAAGAGCTTCACACCCAGTTCCGATCTGTTTGCCAATGGCGGAGAAGGAGAGCTTGCAGAGGAACCTGAGCGAAGAGTTCAGAGGGACGTGGATGGACAAGAGGCCACCACTACTTCCCACCACCAAACACTCTGTAGTTCAGATGACGGGAATGCCGCCGTTCGGAGGACTTCCACCACCCGGGCTGACGTTGGGCGGAGAAACGCCTGTGGCTCCAACCGGCGTAAAGTTACAAGTATTGACTCAGGCAGGAACAAGTCAAAACCCTAATCCAGATAGAGAGAAGGAGTCAACGGAGGCCTCTCGACGCGAGGGAAAACAGATACAGGAGGTTCCGGAGCAGACACAAGCTCGCGTCGAGGAACAGACTCTGACAATGACGAGGAGTGAAATGCAGAAGATGATTGCTGAAGCCGTGGCGGCCCAGATGAAGCAGATAGCTCCGGTAGAACAGCAGCCCCGAGTCGAGTGTCCATCTCGAGTCGAGCATCAGCCTCGCGTCGAGTACCCCCCTCGAGTCGAGCAGCAGCCACGCGGCGAGCAACAAGCCCAGTCGAATGTGCAACAGAACAGAAGGATAGACGAAGAGGAATCGTCCATTCGAACCGTTAATCCACAGGCAAGAGACGAGACGTTAGAGCAGCTGTTGGCGCAGGTTCGCGACTTGCAAGCTCGAGTCGACGGGAGGAAGAGCAGAGGAACAAAAGAACACCCATTCTCACAGCAGATCCTAAGAGCCGACTTACCCAAAGTCTTCAGGGAGCTGAACATATGGTATGACGGTACCACAGATCCATCTCGACATTTGAGGAGCTTTGAGAATATGGCCGTGCTTCATCGTTACAGCGACCCAGTACAATACCGCGCCTTCCTGACGACTTTGACAGGGTCGGCCCAAGACTGGTTCCATCAACTTCCACCGGGGTCGATTCGGGATTTTGATGGGTTCAGCTCGAGTTTTCTTAACCAGTTCGCAAGTGTGAGGGTGCAGGAGAAATCTTACCTCTCGTTAATTAGTATGCAACAGAAGAAAGGCGAGTCGTTACGAGAATATGTGGCGAGATTTACAAAGGCGTGTGTCGAATGCCCAACGGCGACGGATGAAATCAAGTCGGGAGGGTTGACGAGAGGACTGCTGCCAGGATTGTGTAAGAATTCCTTGGCCAAACGACCTGGTAGGAGTTTCGACGAGGTGCTGGGAAGATGTGCCAAATACATGAATGTCGAGGAAGCCGAAGCCGACTACTTGCAAAGCGTGAAGATGTCTCAGGCCGACAATCGAGACGATAGGAAGGAAAAGAAGTCGACAGGAGATAAGAGAGGGTCCCCGAGAGCTGATAGAGGTGAAGGCAGGTCTAGAGGATGGAGACCAACTCAATACACACCTTTGTCGGCTCCCCATGCGAGAATTTTGGAGGTTATGGAAAGGGAAATCCGCGACGATGTGGTAAGATGGCCGCGGACGAGGAAAGACAGACCTTTGAAGCCCAAAAGCAACTTATACTGTCGATTCCACAAAGACTATAGGCACAACACTGACGACTGTCGACACTTAAAAGACGAAATTGAGAGGTTGATAAAGGCGGGTCACTTGAAGGAATTTATATATAAGGACCGAGAGAGGACGAGTAGGAGACGAGAACGGAGTAAAAGCCCTCGCAAGAGGGCGAGATCACCAGAAAAAGAGGAACTCCCACCGAAAAGAGGAGTCATTAACATGATCTTCGGAGGGTCGACTGATGGAGACTCCAATCGGGCGAGAAAGGCCTACGCTCGGGGCCGATACGCGAAAGTCGAGGTGCAACAAGTCGAGGAGAGTGGACCAGTGATGAATTTTGGACCGGCGGATGTTGGAGAAGTCGAGAGGCCGCATAACGACGCCTTAATGATAACAGCGCAGATATCAGGATACGAAGTACAAAGGGTGTTTGTCGATACAGGGAGTTCAGTGAACGTAATTTTCTATGATTGCCTCAGAAGGATGGAGCTAGACATTGAACTGACGCCCCTACATACATCACTCTTCGGGTTCAATGGTTCGGAAGTCGCTCCCCTAGGAGAAACCATGCTCGCTGTCGTCCTAGGGGAAGGTGACTTGAGGAAAGTCAAAATGGTAAGATTTGTTGTGGTTGATGTCGAGTCGGCTTATAACGTGATTCTTGGGAGACCCGCGCTCAACGCGTTTCAAGCAGTTGTGTCAACCTATCATATGAAGCTGAAGTTTCCAGTAGGAGATCGAGTGGGAGAGGCTCGAGGAGATCAAAAGTTGTCGAGAACATGCTACCAAATCGCAGTCAAAACCAATCAGCGTACCGAAATCAAAGAAGGCAAAAAACCAATGACGAGCGAGAAAAGGCCGAGGGGGAGTGACCTCGAGCCTCACGGAGAATTGATGGAGATTCAAATTGGGGAGTCGAGAGAACAAACCACCAAAGTCGGGAGAGAATTAGAGGACGAATTGCGAGAACAGTTGGTGGGATTGTTGAAAGAATTCAGGGATATATTCGCCTTTTCACCTGAAGAACTAACTGGAATCGACCCAGAAGTGATGGAGCACAAACTCAACGTCGACCCCCTCAGAAAACCTGTGAAGCAGCGACTCAGGCACCACGGCGCTGAAATCGACAAAGCAATCGAAGTCGAGGTGGATAAGTTGCTGAAAGCCAAACATATCAAGGAGATCCAATTCCCCGAGTGGATATCTAATACAGTTATGGTGAGGAAGGCATTGAACAAATGGCGTATGTGCATCGACTTCCGCGACTTGAACCTGGCGTGCCCTAAAGATCATTACCCCTTGCCAAGGATCGATCAGCTAGTCGACTCCACAGCTGGCTGCGAGTTGTTGAGCATGATGGACGCGTCGCAGGGATACCATCAAATTCCTTTGGCACCGGAGGACCAGAGTAAAGTGAGTTTCGTGACGAGCAAGGGGACATATTGCTATGTCGTCATGCCCTTTGGCCTCAAGAACGCAGGAGCAACCTACCAACGATTGATGGATCGAATGTTCAAACCTCAAATCGGCCGGAACATGGAAGTGTACGTTGATGATATCCTGGTAAAGAGTAAATCCTCGACTTCACACCCAGACGACTTAAGGGAAACCTTCAACACCCTTAGGGCGTTCGGGATGAAGTTGAACCCAAGCAAGTGTGCCTTTGGAGTAAAGGCGGGACGATTTCTTGGCTA